GCTTGAACTCCCATTCGTATTCGACTTCATACTCGCGCTTTGGCTCGCATTCATACTCACCTTCCCATTCACATATATATTTATGTTCACGATCACACCCTTCCCACGTTCACGTTCGCGTTCACATTCAGATTCAAACCACGAACTATGTTCCTCTTCCCAAATATACTCATAATCCTGTTTCTGTTCCCCGTTGTGCTCATATTATGAGTGAAACACGGGCGACGCCGTCAGAAGCAGTGCTCAACCGACCCGAAATTGCAGTTCTAGCTGCAGTTTCGTCAGCTATTTTGAAACTCAAACTGAATTTCGCAAAGATTTGCATGAACATGTGCATGTGCATGTAAGTATTATGGGTCGCTTCCACCGCGCATTTCCCCGGACAGGCCACATATCCATTAGCGCCTACGCATCAACATATATTTGCAACAAACCGAATGAGTGAATATACGGGCATGCCCCCACATTTATCTATCCGCAACATATAAGTGCATACATACATACGAATAACACTTATTCACATATGGATATATATACATGCAGATTCATCTACATGGACCCAAGAACGCCGCCTGCATAGACAGCTGCAGGCGCCAGCGTGAAGCCGAAACGGCCTATAACAACCGTGAATGAATTGACAAGAGAATAAATATAATTAAAAATACAAATGAAATAATCACGCAGAGGGGGCAGCAGAGAGGCAAAAACAAGCTTCTGTTAGGGCGAATCCTCGAACACTGCCGAAAAAAGCGAGAGGATTAAAGACGCGAAGCAGAGATGAAAGGAACTGACACACAAACTCAGCAGCAACTGAAGCAAATGCGCCTCACCTGTCCAGTTACTTTATCTTTGCACAAAATAACTTCACCGAAACTGCCCTTGCCCAACACGCGCTGGCCCTTGTACCTGAAGAATACCACAGGCACAACAGTAACGCCGCTGCTGCTGCTGCTGTTGCTGTTGCTGCAGCTGCTGCTGTTGCTCCCATTGCTGCTGCTGCTGGTGCAAAAAGGACGCAAACGTGAGGGGAAACGAAGGGCAGCAAGAGGAAGAGAAGAGCGAATGGCGGATGGCGCAGCCAGGACAAAAAGAAAGAATGCACAGCTCAAACCACAAGCAGCAGCAACAGCAGCAGCAGCAGTAGTGCCTGCAGTAGTAGAAACATCAGTAGAAGCAGCAGCAGCAGCTGCAAGTAGCTCATGTCCTGTCGGAAGCCCGAGCTACTTGCCGCTGCGGGCAACGAGACCAGCGCAGCAGCACGGAAGAAACCAGTGGAACACATAAACACGAAGCCACAGAAAAAGAAGATACTTTGAATTAGAGTCGAAATAAAAAAATAAAATTAAACAAAATAACAACTAACCTATCGCTGAAGGCTGCTGTAGAGTGCTGCACAAACATGCCCGGCGTGGCAGCCAGTTTGTCTGACTTGGACGCTGCAGCAGCAGACACACACGCGGCCAACTCACACTATACGCTGCTTCTGCTGCTGCTGCTGAAATTGCTGCTGGGGCTGCTGCTGCCTCCCCGTCAGCTGCTGCTGCTGCAGCGCCTGAATGCCGGAGCGACAGCACCTGCGCACGCGACTTCTGCGTCTGCTGCTGCTGATCTGACTGCTGCTGCTACTCCTGCTACAGCCGCTATCTCTGCCGTCACAGGTCATGCTGCTGCTGCTGCTGCTGCTGCCGCTGCCCATGCAGCCACAGCAAATCAGCCGCGGCTTGCACACTTTTTTCAGCTTTGAGGGGCAACAGCAACTGCAACACCATCAACAGCAGCAACCGCTGAGCAAGCAGCAGCGGCAGCAGCAGCAGTAGCAGCAGGCCTCCCGTGCAGGAATCGATAGGCCTCATGGTGCGCCTCTTTCCTAGCCTGGTCCCCCAGGCTGCAGCTGAACTGCCTCTGGCCTCGTTGTGAGAAGGCAAGGAGAATAAACACTGAGTTGTTCTTGCTGCTGCTGCAGCAACAGCAGCAGCAACAGCAGCAGCGAAGAAACGGGCCTGTTGACCAGCGTACCTGCCGGGTGTAGTTGCCTGGGGCGGCCATCGCTGCCCAAGGAAGAGCCTTGCTGCCCCATATTGCTACTGTTTTCCTCTGCTGCAGTGTAGTCAACTTGAGGTATCTAGCTGTCGTTTAAAGCAACAGACGCAGCTGAAGTAGAGCTGAAGCAGCAACAGCAGCAGCGGCAGCAGCGCTCGGCGGGCAGCCACAACAACGCGGGAAAAGGAAACGCGGAAGCCGCTGCAGCACCAACTGCAGCAAACACAAATGAGAAAGGATTTTCAAGGCTTCAAAGAGTACACAAGACGAATAGAAGCTCCATTCTTCAGAAAAGCGAAAGCCAAAGAGCAGCCTCTGAGCTGCACACTCAGCCCGAACCAGTAGTTGGCTGCTGCTGCCTGCCCCCGTGCTGCTGCTGCTGCTGCTGCTCGTGCTTTCTTTAGTGTCGAGCCCAAGACTTTAATGTGTTCAGCGTTTAACAGAAGAAGTAGTAACGTAAGATTCACCAGAAATTGGGTTTATTTCCGCTAGCTGCACCAGCAGCGGCAGCTGCGGCATTAGCAGCTCAAGCAGCAAAGGCAGCGGCAGGCCCAGCTACATAGCCGGCAGCAGCAACAGCAGCACTGGACACCTCGAACCGGCGACTAAGCTGCTTTAAACAAAATCATCAGGGGCGCTAAATACGTGGAAATTCCTTTTTAGTTTTTGTGGCTGCCCGCACCCAGCTGCTGTTGCTGCTGCTGCTGCCGCCGCTGTTGCTGCTGCCAAGGGGCTTGATTTGGCTGCTCGCCTGCAACTGTGTCCCTCTACCTGCTACCGATGTGTAATTTTCTATCTTAATCTTCATTTAGTGAGGCCCATTGTGCTGCTGACGCGGCGCTGGCTGTCGCTGCTGCTGCCGTTGCCGCTGCTCTCTCCACAGTCAATGCCAATCCTGCTGCTGCTGCAAGTGGGCTGCGGCGGCCTCTAGGCAGCACACTGTGTACAGAAACCGCCTAGGCACTCATAAATGCTTAGGTCTCGCTAGTTTTAATTCCAGCGTTTTTCTTCTGCTGCTGCGCCCGATAGCCCCTGGGGCCTGTCTAGGGCCTCCTGCTGTGGCCCGTGGGATCCGTGAACTCCAGCAACCCGAGAAGCCCCTGAGCCCGCCCAATTTGCAGACACACAAGTCCCGGCGGCGCAGGCCCGTGTAGGCAGTAGCAGCAGGAGCCTTGCTGCAGCAGCAGCAGCCGCAGCAGCAGGAGCTGCAGCAACAAACTCTCCAGATTCGCAGCAAGAAGCACGAAAGGCGTACCAAAAACTGCGCCCCTGCAGCAGCTCGACTGCGCATGCACCAGCGCTGACGCTTTCGGGGGTTTGGACTTCGCAGCTGCCCGTGGGCTCGCCTGAGCTGTCCCAGCTAGCTATATAGCTAGCTAGCTAACTAGCTAGTCAGCTAGCTAGCTAGCTAGCTGACTAGCTAGCTAGCGAGCTAGCTAGCTAGCTAGCTAGCTCGCCTGCTGGCTACCTGGCTAGCTAGTTAACT